TTTATTAAACCCTCAAATGCATGCAAACCCTCCTGCTAAACAACGCAACAGAAAAAAGGCCGAGCGTTTAGGGTTTAGGGTTTAGAGTTTAGAGTTTAGGGTTTGGGGTCCACAGTTTCGGGTTAAGGGCTTTAGGGTTTACAATTTTAGGGTTTAGGGTTTAGGGTTTAGGGTTTGCGGGGGCAGGCACATGCTTGGCGACCTGCCTGTACACCGCACGGTCTCTTTAATTCGTTGCAGCCCTCTAATTAAGAAAAACAGGTGATTAATGTGCATGTATGCATTCATTAATGCATGCATGCATGCATGCGTTGTTGAGTGTTTGTATGTGGATATTTTGTCGTACATCTTTTGAATGAAGCCCGCAGAAGAGGAGGCATTCTTCTTTTGTTTGTCTTATCAAAGCCCCTATTTTCTCTGCCTTTTCTGTCCGCATGCACAACACCATTTGCTCAACTGCACTCACACAAACTACTCTCTTCCTTCCCACGTAGCTAGCTAGCTAGCTAGCTAGCTGCCTACCTAGCTAGCTAGGCAAGTACTAGCTATCTACCTATCTATCTAGCTGGCTAGCTAGCTATGCAACCACTAGCCATTTAGCTAGCTAGCTAGCTAGCTAGCTAGCTGTAGGTGTTTGTTTATTGCGTACGTTTTTGATCTTGTCCGGTGAGCCTGTACACCTGAGGAGAGTCTGCAAAGTTTTGAGGTGTCTCTGCAGGTACAACCCACTTTATTGTTGTTGCCTTTCTCTCTTTTAAAGAGCAGCTGAGAATCTGCTGCAGCAGCAACTCATTTTCTTTTTCTGTTGAAGCGCAGCACAGGAGACACAGAGGCAGCAGTAGCTTATTTATCTCTATTGTTGTTGCTTCTAATGTCTCTCTGTTTTGTTTGTTTTTGCTGCTGCTTATCCCTCTCTTAGCGTCTGTTTTATTGTTAATTTTATTACAATTCTGCTGTCTCTTTGCCGGCTTTCTTCTGTCTCTTTAACTGTCTTTGAAACTGCACGATTTTGTTTTTGCGTATGTTGTGCTTCTCTGTCTCCTTCTCTGTGTCTCTCTTTATATCTGCTGCTGCAGTGTATGCTCTCGCTCGCCTGCCAGCAGCAGCAATAAACAAGGGGGTCTCTTAGGCTGCCTGTACACCCGAAGGAGACAGTCTCTGGGCACCAACACCAAATGATTAGGAGACAGCCACGCATCATGCAGCAGCAAACGAAAGTCGCATGCAGCAGCAGAAGACCCGCGAGGAATTGTAGCATCCAGCAAATATCTACGAGAAATCTTTTCAGTCCGCTGCTGCTGCTGCTGCTGCTGTTGCTGCTGCTGCTGCTGCTGTTGCTGCTGCTGTTGCTGTTGCTGCTGTTGCTGTTGCTGTTGCTGCTGCTGCTGCTGTTGCTGTTGCTGCTGCTGCTGTTGCTGTTGCTGTTGCTGCTGCTGCTCCTGCTCCTGCTCCTGCTGCTGTTGCTGTTGCTCCTGCTCCTGCTGCTGTTGCTGTTGCTGGTGCTGCTGCTGTTTCTCTTCGTTGCAGCAAGCAGTTCTTCCTGGAGGTAGAGGTGGAGACACCCACAAGGTGTATCTACCTCCCTGATCGATTGTCTTCATTACTTTAACCCCCGGGGGTATTTTAAATGCACAGGGGAGTCCAGCATCAGCAGCAGCAGCAGCAGCAGCAGCAGCAGCATCAGCAGCAGCAGCAGCAGCAGCAGGAGATGAGGAAGAGGAGGGTATTTCCCCCTCAATGAGCTGCAGCTTAGGGGGACCCTCTTCTTTATTGTGTTGATGTTTAGAAAGCAATTCTGCTGTACGCTCTGCTGCCTGTTGCTGAATTTGTTGTCCGTTTTTGCTGATTTCTTTGAGATATTTAAATTGCTGCGAGTTAAATTGAATAAGTCGAGAGAGAGCAGCTTCTTGTTCTTCTTCTTTTATATCAGGCTCTTCTTCTTCTATATTATACTTTTCACACACAAAAGAAATAAAACTCTTATCGTCGCCTATAAATGACCCGCCCTCCGTATACACCACAGGGGCCCCTCCATGCGATGAGAGGTCTGAAGATAAAACATTTTTGTTGTTGTTGTTCATACACAAAAAGAAACAATAGATGCAATATAAGACATAAAATAAAATAAATAAACGTACAAACGCAGACATAGACACAGAGACAAACAAACAATTAGACAGAGACTCAAACAGAGATAGAGATTGATACAGGTACAGAGATAGAGATAGAGATAAATATAAATACAGATATAGAGATAGGAATACAGATAGATATCGAGAGAGAGAGACAAATAAAGAGACAGAGAAAGAGACACTGCGAGAGAGAGAGAGAGACTGAGACAGACACAGACAGACGCAATCAGCTCGTCAATATTAGCGAGAGAAAAACAATTTCAAAATCAAACAAAACCAGGAGACGATAAAAACAAACAAGAGCAAGAAATACACTGACAGCAGATGAGGAGAGAAGGAAGCTGCTTTTACCTCCTTTGTCTTTGTGTTGCTTTTTAGTAGAGATCTATTAATTTCTACTTGCTTTCATTGCTTTCTCCTAATTGTTGTTTTTGTTATTTCTATATAATTCAGTTGCTTTTTCTCATTGTTCTTCTTACTATTTCTCACCTTTTTCATGCCTTTATCTGAGGATTCTGAATGCTATATTTATTCGTTTTGGTATTATTTCCAATTATTCTGACTGCTGTTTTGAGGTGTTCTGATTACTGTTTCAAGTCGTTCGGGCTACGATTTCTATTTGTATTTGATTTTTTTTGATGCATTTGCAGACTCACCGAGGGCCGGGAAGCTGCGTGCGACGTAGGCGAGGCGCTCGCGGAATTCCTGTGGTTCAAAAAGTTTAAATTTAGTGGAGACTGAGGGAACAAGAACTTCGAGGCGGTCTGCTAACAGTTGACAGCGAGCGAGTTGAGGGCAGTCATAGCGGCCCTCTACAATGTACGTCGTCATCTGTATGGAAATGTGGCTTTAAAAATGGCTAAAAATGAAATTATTAGTATTTGCAAACTATTTGTTTGCATTTTAATCAAAACATACCCTTAATAGCAGTTAAAACGATGAAGATCGGTCAGCTTTTTCTCGCTGAGGCCTTAAGGCTCGTGCATGCATGAACAGCGGAGTGACCTGGCGGGAAGACGGGCGATCTGCTGCTAATTTCGATGAAATTCCCCCCAACATCAACATATTCACAAATTTAAGTAATTTGTGTATCCAATTTCAAGGAGATTTCAGGTATGTAGTCTTTTGTATACGCTGTTTTTGCCTGTTTCCTCTTGAACTCGGCGACCACGTTGACAGCTGAATGCGCAAGGCATCGCATTCATGAACAAAATAGCCTTAAAATTCGTTTTTGAGTGCCCGTATTTTTTTTTGCAATGGCGACGAAGTTTCAGAGAATTCAAATAACCGACGAAAACCATTTCAAGTCGGTCGTGAAGGCGAGCGACGACCCGAGGCTGTTCATTGTAGACGTATACTCAGCGTGGTGCGGCCCCTGCAACGCTGTCGTACCCACCTTGAAGTCTTTGGCGCTTACCTTAGAGAATTTCGTAGACAGATGCTGCTGCGTCGCAGCAGACGCGGCGCTGGTGCCCGAGCTTGCCTCCTTAGGCGGCTCCTCCACCCCCAAATTCCTCTTGTATAAAGATGGTGTTGTCGTAGAGCAGATAACTGGGGCCAATGCTCCCCTTCTCAAGCAAAAGATAGAAGAGCTCGCACCGCCCCTCGAACCAGGAGGGCTGACTGCCTTCTCGTGACGGACAGCAGGAAAGCTGCTGCTGCTGCTGGTGTTGCTGTGGCTGCACGTGCGCTGCATGCGCAGAAGGTCGACGAATGCTGGAGGGAAGCGAAGGGAAGAAGAGAAGCTGAAGCATCAAGTGGCGAGGCAAACAGACACCCGAGCGACCACAGTCAAATGATAACACTACTTAGCCACTGCAGTTTTTCGTGCTGCTGCTTCGACAGCTTCTAGTAAGGTGCTGCTGATGCATGCAGATCTAGAACAAGATGCAAGGAGGAATATGTTTGCTTAACGAGGCTTTCGCCTCCTTAATGAGTAAAACAACTCCCTATGCATGTAATTAATTGGCTGTCTCCTCTAGAGAGAGTTGCCGTTCTGTCTCTTCTTTGCTTCAAAACAGAAAAACAGACTCCTTCTGCAAACATGCACAAAGACAAAAGCAGTTGGGGCTATGAAGGAGGTTTTTTTGTGTTTAAGAAGAGGAGGCTTCTGTCTCTGTTAAGACTTGCAGGGTGTCCTCCTGCAAAGTGATGATGAAAAATAATAAATTTTGTAGAAAAGAACAACACGAGTTTATTTAAAGCCCAAACATACCTCCAATTCAACTTGGCGAAGAAGAGAGGCATCAAGGTTTAGGTGAAAGCCTTCAAGCCAAGAAGGAGGGGGATTGTTGCTGCTTCCTGGGTAGAAGACGTTTAGGGGTGTATTGGCTTCTTCTTCTTGCGCCGTCTGTTCAACTCCTGTTGATGCATTTTATTTATTCTTTTGCAATTACCCCAGCCCGCATGCAAAGAAAGACCTGATATGGGCTTCAGCAAATCTTTTATGCGCTCAGCTATCCAACGGCCGCTGCTGCCTTCTCTCCCGTCCACAAACGTCTGAAATCAAGGCTTTTAGGGTTTAAGGTGATTAGGGTTTAGGGTTTAGGGTTTAGGGCTAAGAACTTAGAGCATGAGGGTTAGAGAATAGACCGTAGGTTTCAGGGTTGAGAGTTTTGGGTTTAGGTTTTATGGCTCAAGGCCCAGAGTTGAGAGCGGTGGGTTTAGGGTTTAGGGTTTAGGGTTTAGAGCGTAGGGCGTAAAGCATGGGGTGTAGGGTTAATAGAGTTAAGAGGGTTTAGGGTTTAGGGTTTAGGGTTCAAGTACTTTTGCAAGAGAGTTTTTAAAGAGTTGTCTTCTGATTATTTGCGCCTCCAATGTCCCGGCCCCGACGAATCGGTAGATGAAAACCGGCTTCGTTTGCCCGTCTCGCCAGATGCGGGACAGCGCCTAACAATAATAATAATAATAATAATAATAATAATAATAATAATAATAATAATAATAATAATAATAATAACAGGATAACATTATTATTATTATTAACAATAACAATAACAAAAGTAGTAATGGTAATCACAACAATAATAACGCAATATTCTAATAATCATAATCGCAATAAAAATAACAATAGTAGCAATAACAATAGCAGTATTAGAAGTGATAATAATAAGAATAATAGTAATAAGAACAATAGAAATAATAATAATAATAATAATAATAATAATAATAATAATAATAATAATAATAATAATAATAATATAACAGGATAACATTATTATTATTATTAACAATAACAATAACAAAAGTAGTAATGATAATCACAACAATAATAACGCAATGTTATAATAATCATAATCGCAATAAAAATAACAATAGTAGCAATAACAATAGCAGTATTAGAAGTGATAATAATAAGAATAATAGTAATAAGAACAATAGAAATAATAATAATAGTAGAAATACTAGTGAAGAGTGTATTGGTGGAGGTAAATAGAATAAAAGAAGATGAGTGTATAGATGAAGTTGAAGAAAAAAGCCTGAATAAAGAGACTTGAGGTGTACAGACGCACCTGTTGGTCGTTTGCTGGGTTCCTGAGATAAACAGACAAACATAAATAGCAATAAGTATTAGAGAAGTCATCACAACACTATTTATACGTTAAGACGACTGAACGAATTTGAATAACTGCATATGTTTGCGGCAAAGCGTTTACTCTTAATATTAAAAACAACAAAAGTAATATATTTTATTATTTTATCTTAATAGCAATTATAAGAAGAACAGGGAGACTATCATCAGGCATACTGCTTCTTCAGATATTATTGTTGTCTTATTAATGAGTTTAATTAAACTTCTTGTAATACCAGTCGGGGTCAAAGTGTATAAGCCGGTTTGCTCCTGTGAGGTTGAGGCCTGTGCCTCCTGCTTTAGAGGAGAGAAGAAAGGCTTTTGTGTGTTTATCGTTGTTAAACTTCTCAACGAGGTCTCCTCTTGTTGATTCAGGTGTATGTCCATCTAGACGCAGACTCTCCACCGCATGCACCTTTAACAGCGCCTCTACTCTATTCAGCACAACTGTTGAATTGCTGACGATCACTGCCTGCATGCAGACAAGCGTAGAAGAGGAGAGGGAAAGAATAAAAGAATAAAAGAGACAGCACCTTCTCAATAGGGTCTGATGATAGCTGAGATATTATGTGCAACAACAACACCATCTTGTTTGATGGATCCGACAGCCTGAAACAGACAAAAAATGTTAAACATTTTAACGGTTGTTTCTTTTTGTGTAAATATCCTTGTTACTAGTGCATGCACTGTCCTTATTATTATTATTATTATTATTATTATTATTATTATTATTATTATGCAAAATTCATTACCATATGCATATAATATATATATATATATATACTAGTATGCCTTATTGTATAATAATATAGATATGCATACTTCTGTGACAGGACAATATGTCTATTATTATTAAATTGTTATTACTGCTTGTGCTATTATGTTGCCGCTAATATGAATGTTATTAATATTGTTTTGAGTTGTGGCTTACACTGTAGAATTAGGGTTTAGTACTTCTTCTGTCTCTTCTCTGCATCCTTCATTTAAATATCCCTCTTCATTATTTTCTTCTTCTGCTGCAAATGTTTTCGATGCATCTTCTTCAAAGTTTTGTGGTTTTGTACAGATAGCATCCGGAACGTTGACGATGCGTCTGAGACAAATAAAGAAAAGCAGCAGATTCAGCAGCAAGAAGAAACAAACAAACAATTAAAACAATACTCAGAGTAGAAATATAACAAAACAACATATGCACAAACAAAGGCACAACAACAACAGCAAAACCAGCAACAGCATCAACAACAACGCAAACAACGAGGCAAGCAACGAGAAGAAGAGAAAAACAAAAATAAGGAAGCAGCAGCAGCAACACGAGTACAACAACAAATAATCAAGAACGCAATTGCATCAACAAGCGCTGCTGCTGCTGCTGCTGTTGCTGATGCTTCAGAAGGAGAAAACAGATACCGGAGTGTAGTTAGGAGACCGAGACAATTAGCCTTTGCTGCATGCAGATTCGCGACGCATTTGTTGCAGAATTCGTTGTAAGCCAGCTTGTGATTTGTTGATAGCTCAACATGAACTGTAAGGACCCGTTTCCTGGGTACTAACAGCAGCAATTTGTTATTATTTGTTTGTTTGTTTGTTTGTTTTGTTGTTGTTGTTTTTGTTCTGTCTTTGTGTTTTCAAGCAAATAGACTTACGCAGGTTTTCAAGGACCTTGGAGGTTCTTCGTAGCATGAAGCTTGACTGAGAAAATAAACAAATGAAGCCTCTTTAAAATAAATTATAAAGAAATACATGCGTGCATGCATGCGTGCACAGAAGACATGCCTATGTGCATGCATATCTTCTGAAGCACTTTGAGTATTAATGTAGATGCACATACACGCGGGCCTACCATTTGATTCATTAGTTCTGTCTCTCTTTCTCTGGCTGCAGCAGATATATCATTAATAATAAGGGAGGTGTTAGTGAGGTATAAAAGTATATTAATTGCATTTCAAACAACAGAGACATACCGATATT